CCCCAAAACCCCAAAACCCCAAAACCCCAAAACCCCTAACACTAGTAAATTTTTTGAAAGTTAAATTATATTTTACTGGACTTGTTGCCCCTTTCTTCCAATACGATCTTTTTTCTGCGAGTCTTTTAAAGAGTGAGACATAACTTTCATGACAATTTTCCCCATGTCATATTGCTTCTTTCTCAGCTGAGACCGTTTCTCCTCTTGTTGTCTTTCTTCCTCCTCCTTGCTGTGCGGCATGAAATTCCAGAAGCCCTTGCTAGTCTTAGAACCTAGAAGAAAATAAGTATTTCTGGAAAACATCTTAATTAATCGACCTACGTTTTTGAGGGTGAGCTTTATTAATTTCTTTTAGAAATTTTTTGTGGTTAAATATCTGCAAGGCAACTTTCTCTCGTGTTTTCCTCATTGCTTCCATCCTTCTGACTCTTTTGATGGCTTCCATGTCAATTGCTTGGTTGGGTTCAAACTTTTTGATGCACTCAAATTCGGAGTAACTTTTAAAAAGCTTCTATAATAAGTATGAATTTCTTCATAAAGTATTTTCATAAATGGTTTAAGATTCTATTGACACAATTAAGTGCTACTGGCTGAGAATTATTTACCTTTGGCTCTCCTTTGGGCCCAACTTTTATTTGAGAGTGTTTGGAAAATTTTGACATGCGGAATTTTTCTTGTGAGGCGTCTTTTATAGCACCCTTTCTTCCACTTCCAGAGGACATCATGTTGATGATATAGGATTTAGCATTGAAAGCACTTGATCTTAAGGATATTCCTTGCCCTTGACTATCTTTATTGCTACTATCATCCATTTCTATCCGCCTATTGGAAGTATAAGTAAAAATCTCTGTGGAAACCCTTACTCTTTAACCATTTCAAGATCATTATTAATTTCCTTGACCTTTTTCTGTATTTTAGAGCTGCTCATCAGCAACAACATTTTTGGTTGATGGTGCCCTTTATTATGGATATAGTTGTTGAATATGTCAAGGGCTAATTTTAGTAACCCTTTCTTGAACAAATTCATTGTTCGAAGGTACTCAATATAATTGTTTTGGTCTTTTCTGTACTTCTCTAAAATGAGAATTCTTCTAGGATCAGTCCCCAAAGGCTAGTGATTATACATAAATCGCTTACAATTTTCTGAAATGCCTTCTTATGAGCCAATAAGGATTCAACAGGAACTTGTTTGATATTCTCTTTGCGGTCCATCAAGTGGCTCTTTTTAGGCTTAAATACTTTGTTTCCTAAAGCAGTAAGTCAAATCTGGGCTCACCTTTAATGAAGACACTTGTAATTTTGCGGTTGACTCTTTGGTAGGGTTTTGAATATTTCTTAATCATGCTCATACCATCATCCTTTCCCTTTTTATTTTTGATAAACTTATTGTATGATTTCCACTGCCTGTTTGGTGTCCCTGTAATTAGCTCCAATTCATACCTTTGAGCAAAATAGTAGTGTCCACACTTGAAGTTCCGTTACTGTCTTCGAGGAATTCATAACTGTTAAATTTGAGCTTCTTTCTAGAAATTTTGAATTAATCATTGGAGATAATTAAGGATTATAAATAGTTATATTTACCTCTTCGAGATACCATTTGGCCTTGCGAATTCAGGGTCTTTCAGATTTATATCTTTAGGTAAAGTGCACGCCTTTCCTCCACCAAGAGGTTCTACTATGGTAAGCGGAGGTCTATCTCTGCTAGGCTCAAGCTCTGCATCTTTAGGTTTAATGAAAATTTTCTTCAAACTTTTGAGATTGATAATGCCAGGAGTTGTTTGTTCATATAATACAGGGAAAGTCATACGTTTATCAGGAGTATTTGACGTAGGATTGTTAGGTTTCTTGCCATGCCTATATTTAAAGTAAGTCTATAACTTTTAATAGAATTCAAGTTGATAATAATTTAAGACGACTGTAAAGCCTATGAGGATCTTCTAATATTTTATAAATACTTACAAAGAAGTGATTATGATAGAATTTATTTTCCGATGGTTATTCGTTCTCCTCCCAAGTATACTAGCCGTGGTGTTTTTCTTTGATCTAATGACTCTTTTAAGAGGAACTACATTGTCAGGAGTATTTCAATCTCCACTGTGACTTGAATCTATCTCTGGAGCAGCATTAGGATTCTCCTCTTGGGAAGCTCTAAAGCATTTGAAAGGATGGATATTGGTTGAATTCTCATTCGACTCGTCTTCCATTGGAATATTATATTAATAACAATTTATCTGACTAGTTCAGGGGTTTTGGGGTTTTGGGGTTTTGGGGTTTTGGGGTTTTGGGG